GCAATGGGTTTTTGGATTTCATGGTGCATGTCAACCACTCAGGCATGCAAGGAACTGATGTTGGTCAGGGTTACACGAAGCTACGCGTGCCAGGACGACGCTGGCACCCTCATGAACTCAAACCTCCCTGACTTCAACGACTCTGATGCCTTGGCAGCACATGCCCATAATCGTTCTGCAGGCACCTCATCCAACGGCGAGGGCTTGGGAATCACAAATGGTGTTATGAGCTTCAAGTTGCTTTCCAAGAAAAATACATGTCAATGGCCCATGACATCATGCAATGCACTGCAAAACTGATCGATGATGCATGGGTGTTCTGTGCACGATTTGTGATCCAAGGTTATCGTTCCCCACGATCAGCAAAACAGCCAGCCCTTTGCAGATTCTCCCGCAGTTCATTGAGGTGTTGGGTCGTAAGGTGGACAAGATTCAGGTGGAAAAGGACTCTTCGTGACCTTACCTAGCTGTGTGCATGTGCATTCCCTCTGCATGCATGCGTGGGTGCATGGTTTCATCACGTGTAGGACCGATTGGACACGTTGAAAACTGCATCTTCCAAATCGCTCCTAGTCGGCCTTTTTGGCATACCCATGCATACCCTCAAACTTCATGATGTTGGGCCTGTTAAACCTCACCACCCAGATCGCGCACGGACTGAGGCTTGCCACCACGATCCAGCAAAACCTGTCCAAAATGCGCAGCGTGCATGACGAGCTGACTACGATTTTGGCAGATGCTACTGTTAAATCAGAGGATTTGGAGAAGAAGCTTGGAGTTCAAGGTTACAGCACTCTTGCGGACTTGCTATCAAAGTTCTAAAGGCCTTCATACCTACTCCTATCACGTAAAGCCCTTTGACATCCTTTGACCTATCTCAGTGTGGTCATGGGCGAGTTCGGGGAACATCATTGTGTGCTTTAACCCCTTAGGACCCAGAAGGATCGTGTGTTGGAGCTGTTTGTGAGCTGCACGAAGCTCGACGTTGCGATGAACACTCTGCTGGTTCGTTTAAAGCGCCTTACTTGCAACCATGTGCATGCATATATAATGTCATTCGTTTCCCAGCTGGCAATGTAAGGGAGCAATCGGTAGCCAAGGACATTGAAGAGCTCGGCCTCAACCGTCGGAACAGAAGCCCCAGCCGCAAAGGCAAGTGGAGTTCCCAAGTCTGCCCGCGCAAAGGCGAAGGGCAAGGCAAAAGCTAAGGCAAAAGCCAAGGCTTGAAGTATAGACAGTATAGATCCTAGCCCAAGATTTGGGGAAGCCCTAAACACGATGCCGTAAAGAATTGCTATCTCAATGTTGTTTGTTGATGAGGGGATGCATCGTGTTCGTTGGCTTGTGACACACTTTGACGCTCCAGATTCGTCAGCTTAGCCGCTACATGATCAAGCGACAAGATGAAAAGCCTTCTTTTCAAGTTTCTTTCTTTACAAGTTTATGTTTTCCAAAACTTATGTGCATCTTTTTGGGGGATGACCTCCGTCAAACACCTTTGTGCCTATGAGGTTCAAGCATTGTGGGGCAACCATGCATATTCCCCTCAAGTTTCAAGGTGACCAAACATACTCCAACGCAAACAATTGCCAGGTCATAGGGGAGATGCAGCAGAAATCAGGCGTGCCTTAGCTGCATAGCCTACCAAAGTTGATTTGCAAGCGCTACAGATACATGCACGCAGTACTATCTCAATCACCCCCTGCAGGCTATCAGAGTTCTTCCAGCTCTGATGATATAGCGGACGACTTGGTGAAAAGCTTTGCCAAAGGTGTGCCTTATCTGCACGCGTGTTAAGCATGGGTTAGAGAAAGGACGATGTGTCATGAGATGTCATGACATCTATGCATGAACCCCGCCCCCAAGGCAACTGCCAAAGATGTTCTACATCAAGCTGTTCGGACAGAACGATTGTTGACGAAGCATGGACCCTTAGCCAAATTCGAGTTTCCATGCATCTTGTTCCCATCGAGATCGGAGCTGGTGCGTGTATTGGCCTAAGGAGCTTATGATCCCAGAGTTTCAGAGATTGCCCACTGTGCAAAGTTCAACAAAAACCTCACCAATGCTAGTCGTAACTTGTCCAAGTTCATCCACAGAAAGGGAAAGACTTTGCCAGTGCCAGTAACTCCGATTCAGACCCTTCTGAAAGCTCGCGCCTTCACCCGGCGCAAGAAGCTGGAAGTACGACCTTGGCCAACGCTGCACTTGAGTAGCTGGCTCCGAGTGTGTCTTGAGCATCGGGTGCACCGTGGCTTCTTTATGTTGGGGGGCTTCAAAACTGAGCAGCTCCGCGAGGCGGAAGTCATGCTCCAAACCTTCTGGCGGAAATACATGCATGTGGAAGCTTTTGACCTGGGGGACCGCTCCCATCGTACAATCCCTTTTTTCATCCACGGTGATGAAGGTAGAGGACAAGGAAAGAAACCTATCATGGTCATCAGCTTTCAGCCAATTTTGGGGTGGTCCCACGGAGAGCATGTCAACAGTAAAAAGCAACTTGTTGCAGCTTAAACATATTTTTGCTCTTTACACCAATTCTTTAGGTGGGGCATGTTTGAGGGTTTTGGGAGAAACACAGTACTTTGCTCCTGTTTCTGTTAGGTGAGGCCGTGTCTGGGTTGGCTACCAACTGAGGAACACCTTCACGACTAGGATGTTATATACGGTCTTGCCATCCGAGCTTTACGCGCCGAAAGACAAAAGCCTTCAACAACTTCTTCAAGCTTTGGTGGATGATGCTAATGAGCTGTCAACCAATGGGTTTGAGGCCACGGCATGCCCTTAGCTCTCGTAAAAGCTAAAGCTTTTGAATCTGGGCCCCAACACTACACCAGTTATTCTAGAGTAGTTCGACATTCTGAACAAGGCTTCTCAATGTTTTGGGAATCGCTGTTTGGTTGAACACTGGCCTGGAGGTTCGCTGCGAAGGTCGCCGAGAACATTTTTGGGCCCAAATATTGGGAGTGAAAGGTGATTGGCCTTTCTTGAAGGGCGCAATGAAGCTATACACAGGGTTCACATCAAAGCGGAAGTGTCATTTCTGCGACACAACAGAACCATAGCTGCACGCATGCACATGTGCGGCCTCTGTTTATAGCTAGAACGTAGTAGCATTTGTGCAAGCGCATGATTCTTTCCGGGTCCCTTCAGGAATGGTTCAACTGCACAGCTACTTCTGCAGTGCGCTCATGGACACCCAACACTGTTGCGCCACCACCCTTCCATGCTGGAGCCCCATCCGCTCTTAGAAGTTTGCTACCCATTCGGGCCGCGACTGATGCAACCTTTGTAAAGTGCGACCTAGCGCACACCTATGCAATTGCCGGGTATGGCAAAGATCAATTGGCATCGACGCTAATTTTTTTGTGCGTTCATTGCAACATTTACGGTACCGGAGCATGGGAGAGACAGCTGGAGGAAGCCTATGGGGAGTTTAGAGCATGGTGCGCACGCAACCGCGTCACAACTTCCATCACTGAATTCAGCAAAACGGAGTTGAAAGTGCAATCGTTTCTTGCCATGTACTTAACACATGGTCTCTTGTGGTGTGTTGCATGCATGCACATGTATGCACATTGCATCTGTGGGAGTAGACCTATGGCCCAGGTTACAGCAGTTCCCAAGGGGTCTTGGGAAAGGCTTTGATGCTGCGCTCATGGGGAAGTGGTTGCGGGAAGTCTTTGCAGGCTTGACGCCCGATATGGTACCAGCTGCTTGTTGTGCACGAAATCCAATGCCTGTTGCTTTGGTTGGTATGATGTACTTTGCTCATGGCCCTGTGAACCCTAGGACGGAACACGAGACCTTTTTACGATCTTGAAGTGGGGCATCGAGAACACTTCCTGCTTCTTCAAAATCGTATACCAACCAAATCTTTGGCTGCCGCGAGCTGATGCCAAGCAAGCCGTTGAATCTGGCTGGGCCATGATCGTATCCTGTTTGCATGTGTTGTGGATGCATGCTACATCGACCATCATGTTGAATGGCTCGCACGGTGTCTTAGGAAGCGTATGGGGCAGCCGCGCGGCTGTCCAAGACACAGGGGTGGGCACTTTTTTACATGCGCCCAAAGTTGCACATGATGCAACACATCGTGTGCCTGCAACGGCATTTGGTCCAGCCAGTGTGTGCCGCTAGCTTTCCGTGTTCACCTGCATGTGTGCTTCCACTTCCACCAAGGCGTGACATGGAAATCCAGCTGGAGAATCCAGCAGTTGAAGAAGTTCTCAGTCCAGCTTGTGTTTAGCTCAGTTTTGGTGAAAACAAGCGGTGTATAAGCATGCATGCATATTGCAAAAAGCACTTGTCCCAGGCCACGCATGCTGGTCAGATGAAGATTTTATAGGACGGATTGCAAGACAGAGTCGGAAAGTACATCCGCTAGCAATTGCATTTGGCACCATGACCCGAGCGCTAGTGCAGTACAAGCTGGAGTGGGAAAAGGCCTATCTCCTACAGCGTTGATCTGTCACCCTGCCGACGACTTGGAGCCCCAGCGTTGATCACCACCATTGACAATGGCCAGAAAAAAGTGTGTGTGCATGGTGCTGTGCGCGCCATGGTGAGGGTGGGAGACCTGGAAAAACGAGCGCATTTTTTGACCATGATCAAAACGAGCGGAAACCAAAGAACGAGGCAGAAATCCTTCGAGGCAGAAATCGATGCCTCTTTGAAGCTCTAGGCATATATCATCATCTATCTGTCTGTATGGAGCCTTTGGGAGTGGCCAACATTTCTCTCACCAGTGGAGAGAAAGGACGCGAGTGGATCATAGGCATGCCCACCCCCCACCCTCCAATCAGCTATGCATGTTATTTAGAACTGCTCAAATGTATCTCTTTCGTGAGAAGATCCACTGCTGGGAGTGAAGCGAGTCAGTACCAGTAGACTCATGCAGGGTCATTCGAAGCTTCGTTGAAGACCGACCCATCGTCTGACGTCGTGTGACCCGTCGTCTGAACTTTTTCGACCGATTGACCGAGTTCAGTCCCAGGAACAGGTCCAGCAAAGCTGTCACACTCATCTGCTGGAAGGCCCGATGCAGGTTCACCAGACGCAACCTGCGCTGACCGCAGCTTCGAGTAGACGCAGGTTCACCATGCTCAAGTGGACGATGATGTCAACAATTGGGAGACCCCCCCCAACAGCTGGAATCATTGGCTGAGGGGTCTTTGAGGTCTGAGGTCTATCCACTGGACAAATCGACTTGGGAGCATCCAAACCTAAGCAGGAAAGTGGTAAGAGCGCGGGGTTGGACTTGTGTATCCTGCATGAATATTATTGTTTGGCAGTTAATATTGAGTTGATCCTGACTGAACATTGTCATTAATCAATCCGTAAATGTCATTAAAAGTCAAGTTTCCCAACTCTTCATCCACACTGTAAGGCGATTGGTGTTCGATGTCTTTTCCCAACTCATTTTGGGATTCTGCACCAGATCGGCACGCTTGGATCCGTCTCTCCGAACGTTCGGTGCGCACTCGGTGCGGAACGAACATGCGATACGCTGCGTGTCGCTCGCCGCTAGTCCAGCACCACCCAGGTCGTGGGTGGTGCCGGTTCGGTTTGATCGTTGGAAAGAACCTCCCATCTGCGTGGCAAAAGGATGTATTTGAACACGGAGACCACATCTGCGTGGCAGAAACACATGCAAAAAGCTCCGACTCCTCAGTTCCACCGACACCAGAATCCTTCTCTGCGTGAACTTGGACCCTGTTCGGCCCCCAAAAAAGGACACACTCCCGGGAACTAACATGGAAGTGGAGTTTGAGTTCAGCCCCTGTTTGGTATTTGGAAAATGGTCTTTCTTTCGGGGCTATGCCATCCACTTCCACATTGATTATCTATAGTTCCAGTCAGAGTAAGTTAATTTGGTTGGGGTTGTCTTGGCTTTCAAAAACCAGCCACAGTCGGACGGAAGAAATGGAAGCTAATGGATCACCCGTGTTTCATTCCCCGGAGTGGCCTCCATTTTGCTTAAGCGTGAGAGTTCGGTAGCTTTAGGATCCATGAAGCTGTCATCTGTTGGAAGCTGCATTTGCTTGCGATCACACAGATTGGAGCTGCCGACGCTGCGACCCCAAGACTGCAACTAGAAAAGCCACTTGGCACCACAAAGCCACTTGGATCTCTGAATCTTCAAGGTCACTTCCACACAGAAAAGCGCAAGAGTTTGCAGATTCGTGGAAGGGCATCTCAGAGGCGAGCTGTCTTTAATCTACACTCTGACCAACACATCACATGCAAGTGGAAAATGGCCTGTTGGATGACTATTCTCCTCTACAAACAGGCGGTTTTCCACTTCCATGTTAGTGAGTCAGAGTGTCAGAGTGTATGAGTTCATTTAAATTCTGTTCACGTTGTGATTCCCCCTATGTCTCCACGCGAACACCCGAGCACCAAACCCCCGAGCTCTGCCGCCGGAGCTCTGCTTCATCAGGGGGTCATCCGTGACGATCTCCTGTGAAGAAACGACTACCGATCTGCTTCATCTGGCACTCATGTGGTGAAGAGTGCCTCAGGTTCACCAAAACAACATCGCTTGTAGGGGGCAGGAGTTTGTTTTTGAGGGATCTCTTGAAATGGAGTGTTAGTCTCGGACTTCTTAGGGCTTGCAATATCCACCAAGCACTGACTGTAGGAGAACAAACAATACTCTGCCTGGAACTAACATGGAAGTGGAGTTCAACCCCCTGTTTGGTAGTCGGATTTCATGGTCTTCCAAATGTCCTTTTTACACTTCCATGTGAGTTCCAGGGCCTGTGTACAGCAACCAACCATTTCCTTGTCTGCGGCTCTTCACCCAGAGGCCCCGAGACCCAAAAAAACGCCTTGTCCGTGGATCACATTGCAGTGTGTTCAGCCTTTTGTGTGGATGTATCTACACTCCCTGAAACCAACTTAACATGGATCCTGTTGTTTTCGCACCCTGAAAGACTGTTTTCCTCTACAATCCCAGTGGTTTTCAGGGTCCTTGTTAGTCTTACGCACTTTCTGATCTTGTTGAAGTCCAAAATGCGTTGGGTTTACGACGGTCAGTGGTACGCGGGTTCGAAGTGGACCTGAAAAAGAATAAAAACAACACACCCTGCAGGCGCAAGGCACATAGGCGATCTGTGTTTTGAAACTGATGCGCCAGTAGCTCATACAGTTCAGGATTTGGAGATCCGAAACCAGCTAGAAAGTCGTCCATGGGGCCTGCCAACTACTGTGAGAGATATCCTATATCTTCAACATTCGAAACTAATTACCAAAGACAGTCTGGAGATTTCAATGCTTCCACTGTGTGAAACCCATCAGTTGGATTCGTCTCGGCTGTTGTGAACTTTTCCATGCCCCCACATGTCCCCATTTCCTACCAGCGGCAGTGCCGTGCCTCGCCTCATCACATCGTGTCCCTTATCATCGGCTATCCCTTATCCATCTGATCCCCTCCCTCGCAGTCCTGTACTATCTTCTTCTCTTTCATACTACAATCAAACCTGATTACTATTGCTGCCTTGTCATATATGTTGTTTTTTCCTTTCTATATTTGCCTCCTATGATATCCTTTGTTTTTCCACGCGTGGAGATGTTTCTAATGATAATGTCGTCATGCTGCCTCTCGTTCCGGGGGTTTAGTCTATTTGTTCAAAATGCCAAGTGTGGAGGTATGAGCTATCTGAACCAGATCTGAATCATCTACCCTGTCAAAAACTATGGCATGATTGCGTATAGATGGTCATGCATGACTTTCTGAGAACCATCTTCCTGGGGCCAAGCTAAGTGCCAATGTCCTCGCCTCTGGCAGTGAGTTTTGCAAGAGCTTCAGCAAAACATCTGCCTGCCAAACAGAACCAATGAGGGAGATTCTTCTGATTTGCCGGGACATCTTGGCCAAGCCAGTTTCTTTTGTTGTTTCCCCAAGTCAGAACCAGGTTTCCAGATTGGCAGAAAACAGACCAACAGGGCTAATATGTACATATGTATATATATACAATATTATACAATTATAAGTGTATACTGTATACACATTATAAAAGGACTACTCCAAAGTCACGAAGCAGTGAGTCCCTGTGTACAGAATCCCACCCCGTATTCCAATGGATTATCGGCAGGATTTGCATTGGAACGTTCAATGAAGCCGACTAGAGGCCCTGGAGCATTTTGCAACCTCCCTCCACTACAATGAAGCTTGCCTCTTACACCAGGGGGTCTTCTCCAGTTCAAGGCACCATCTCAAACCCTGCTGGTCAAGTGCTGATTCCAGGGCCCCCTCGGAGTTGCAAGCCCAAGCCGGGCCGCACCATAAAGATCCATAAAGCACCCCAAACCCGATCAAAAGACCAGAAACAACAGCCACGACCTACCGGAGTTTTTCGTGGTAGCTCTCCATTTCACCACCATGGCGATGAAAAACCGGTGCGATTCATCCAGCGCTCTTAGTTGAAGGTGTTGGAAGCAAAAGTCGCTGCTCCGGTAGCCGTGTTTTGCTACATGAATGTGTCTGTATGTCTATTTGGGAGAAACCCCTGGCCCAATGGGTCGACTGTCGACACCTTCCAAGGGGTCGTTGCCTGGGAGGACTCCCTAATACACGTAAGTTACACAGAAAAAGGATCACAAAAAGCCTCCAACCTACTAGCGATGGCCTCCAACCTATACTAGCGATGTCCTCCAACCTACCTAGCGATGGCCTCCAACCTATTAGCGTTTTACACCGAAGAACTTCTTCCAAAACAACCTGTTCTTGTTGGGAGGACCATGTCCCGCAACGGGTGGTCCCAGCTAACGTGAACGGTCTCGGCACCAAACTCTGCACTCCTCTGCACTCGGCACTGGCGCAGGACTCATCTCGGCTAAGATAAAGTGACCACTGCAGCGAAGTGCACTGATTTGCATTGGGTCTATCCAATCCAACTAGATGCGCAGTTCATCTATAAGCTACAAACACCTTGCATATATACTTTGGGTCTATCCTATTACCAGTAACAGTTTATGCTGATGGTTCAGTTGCAGGCCTTGTTCTAAAATAGTGATTTGCTTGTTTACTGACTGTTACATGCAATGGGACAGACCCAATATGTGAACCTCAAAAGAAACTTCGGAGAACCAAGGACTCCCAGGACTAGGGCCAGGAATCTGTAACTATATCCCTACGCCTCTGGGCCCACATCCTCCGGTTCGGTGGTTGGGGTGGATGCCGGGGGGGTCTAACTACTTTCTCAGGATGTGGGCCAGGAGCATGTTGGAGCCCTAGTATACGGGTCAAAGAAGGTATCCTGCTTTTGACCCACAGCCATCTCATCAAAACCAAAGACCGAGAAACGTGTCGTGCACAGAAGTCCAAGGCTATGTTTCCCACTCGTCCATGCCCAAGGACAGCCCTTACAGCTTCGCCCTGCGAATGCCCATCACGTCTACTCTCCCACTCAACACGGAAGTGGAGTGAGCGAACCCCGGTCCTCCAAATTCGTGGCCATGCCATCCACGTCATGATGAACCGGCGAAGCGGCACGTGTTCAGGCAACGCGGCGAACCTGCTGATCCTCGATGTGCGAGACTTTCTTCATGATGAAGGGCACAATGATGGCCAGCTTCTGTCCTGGCCGGCCGGTTTTTTACTGTGGCAGGTAAGGACATTGGTGCCAGCTGGTAAAGGAAACGTCACCTCAGTCTAATAGATCTACGGTATATATTGATTTATTGACGCCAAATAGATAGAAACTCAATGTCGCCAAAAGAATTACTCCTTTTGGAAGCTATGGGTTAAAGAATACAAATAACATATTGGCCCATCAAGCATTTGTGGCCAAAAGCTGAACAGCCATATCAAAGCAAGGGATCAGGCTCGGCGTTGTCTCTGGCATTGATGCCAAACAGTGGAGAAGCAAAGATTTGTAGATGAACATCACTGAGTGAACATCTTTTCCTCTTGCGTACGCCGATAATTATATAATATCTGTGGCCGCGATGCTACTAATTCCTAATTGGCAGGGTCAGTCAAATGGCATGGCAAAAGTGATTGCCCATTCGCGCCAAAAAATCAAACGCGGCCATAAGCCGTAAGCTTCTCACAAACACATAACCTCCAGGAAAATACATCACCAAAAAAATGCATCACCTCCAAGTTGCCCTTGATCTTTCTCTCCCGCTACGTACCAAACCCACCCACCCACCCTGCACCTCACGTCTGACGTGCAGCATGGTCCTGGACCCAAAAGTTTCAAGGCCTCGCGCTGGCTCTTGTTGAGCCGCACCTTTCGGCCGTGCGGAAGGTGGCAAAAGTCACCTTAGGATGTGCTGGTTGCGGAAGCCGGTAAAAAAACACATATCCCCCAAAAAGGGATTGACTCAGAAAATGTTAAAATTTTTAACACCCTAGATGCAAAACCAGGTCACATTCAAAGCCCTTCTCGCAGTAGCCGTTCTTGATGATGTGGACACACGGGGCACGGCACAATGCCTCAGGCCAAGGCACGTTTCCAAGACATCGGACGTCTCGTGAAGAAAAGGAGGGCGTTGTTTTCCGATCCGAGTCAAAGGCTTTTTGGGTGTGATGCAATGCTGAAACATAGAGCTTCTGGCAAACACCTCCTCAGTGGACGAGATCAGTGGGGGACGAGATCTGGTGGCTGAAGGATGCTTTGCCCGTGTGATTTGGGGCGCCCGGAAGCACCCGCCCCGGATGCACCTGGAAGCAACGACTAGACTCCCTGAAATCATGGTGACGTGGATGGCATGACGCCAAGTTCGGATGACCCCTTTCCCCTAGAAACAGGTGGTTTTCCACCAACTGTTCCTTTATTATTTCAGGGAGTGTACTTGGCTGAATCCTCAGTTTGGGTGAATCCAGTTGTTGCGACCAGCACACAACCCGTAACACCTCAACCTGTAACCCCTTTACAACATGTGAATCCCCTTACAACATGTATTGTAGATTACATTGTGCTATCACCTAAAATCCAAGCACTGTGCCAAACACTCCATGTGCGACAAACATTTACCTACATTCAGCCCTGAAGCCGCCCCAGGGGGTAAGGGATCAAAAACAGATCAAAAACATATTCAACGGGGATCAAAAAGGCATAGGTATCAAAAAAATAAAACGAGCATCAAACAAAACATTAAAAAATGATCAAAATAAAAATAGAAAGCGGATCAAAAAATTATTCCTTGATAGGCCTCTTCTGCTGCGGGTCCTCTGGTAATAAGGTCCTTTGGTCCCTTGGTCCTCTGGTCTTTTGGTCCCCTGGTCCCTTGGTCCACTGGTCCCCTAGTCCTCCGGTCTCCTGGTCCTCTGGTCCTGTGGTCCGCTGGTCTCTTGCTCTCGTACTCCGCTCGTCTTTCGGACTCCTGGTCCCTTGATTGCTTTCTACTAGAGGCAGCTCCCTGGGAGGAAAGTAGGTACCCAATGATGGTAGCCGTCCAGTCATTGAGTAGCCCTAATCGAAAAAATGGTTCATCAGTAGAAATAGCTCCCTACTAGGAAGGAGCTCCTAGAAAGGTACACTCTCCTAGTCCCCTACTCCTTCCATCCTCTTCCCTTGGTCTCCTAATCCTGCTACTGCTACTGCTACGGCTACTGCTACTACTACTACTACTACTACTACTACCACCCCAACCATCCTCAGTGGGCTAGAATATTTGTTTTGATTCCCTTTCTATTTTTTATTGATCCCCGTTGAATATGTTTGATTCTATTTTTATTTTTTGATTCCTTACCCGATCAAAAACCAATAGAAAGGGAAGCACAACATATTCTAGCCCACTGAGGATGGTTGGGGTTGAGCATCGGCTCAAAAGCCTGCAACAGAAACACATCGGACCAGGCAGACACAAAAGAACGAAAGGATAGAAATGCTGGACATTGCTGAGGGGCACGCTATATCAACCACCTCTGTGGCTTTGTCACAGTTTTTATAGTATGGAAACTATAACTACTTGCAGCCTTGTTATAGCATTCACTGCGCACATTTGTTGGAAGCTAAGGTCGGCCCTATCATCCACCTGTGTGGCATTGCAACAGTGTTTAGAGCATGGCAGAATGGAGGGGACAGCAGCAGCCACCTCAAAGGACCAAAGACAAGGACTAACACGCCAACACTCCAAAAATGTGCCAAACAATGGCATGCGCAAGTCTCCAGCACCCCCCCACACATATGGCCAATCAGGAACAAAAAACACTGAATTGAAAGCCTTCAAAAGTTAGATGGCTCGGTTTGGTTCCGCAAGTGCCCTGCGTGGAAGCGATCTACGTTGACAAAAAGGAAGCGCTTCACACCTGCTTCAAGATCAACAGGGGCAGACAATGAAAGGATATGTGCAACAAGCTATCAAAGAGACTGAGACTTAGACGACGTGCAGATTTCGTGGTGATGGAGGGGGGTTGGGGGGGAGGGCGCAGCGCCTCCCCCCCAAAGCGACTAGAAACTATGTACCCTATCGTCCTTTCAGTGAAGGGCATCTAAAAGTGCACAAAAGGACCTAAGGCAACCGAAGCCAAAGCATTGTATGTGTGCAGGAAAACTGCGGCCAATAAGCTACAAGAGAAAGGACCAAAGGCATCAAAAAGCATCAGTGAAAGAACAAGAGAAAACCATAGGAAACCCGCAGACCAGAGAACCAGGAGGGCAAAGGACCAGGAGACCACGGGACCGGACCAGGACCAAAGGGCCTGTGGACCAGAGGACCAAGGGACCAAGGGACCAAAGGACCAGAGGACCAGCGGACTAAAGGACCAGAGGACCCGCAGACCACAGGGCCAGGAGAGCAGCACAAGAGGCCTAGCCAGGAATATGCTTTTGTTGATCATCTTTTTATGTTGTTGTTGATCCTCTTTATGTGTGATGTTCTGTATATTTTTTTGATCTAGATGCCATATATTCCACACATGGTGTGTCACGTGAAATTGAAAGCTCATCTTAGATTGTCAGCTTAGGAGGACTATCCATCTCAACGATAACAACTGTATATTTCTATAACGAACCCAACCAGAAACAAGCCAAAGTGAAGTGAAGGGAGATTTATACGCAAAGCACTGCAACTGTTTGTGCAGGGCAAATGTGATCATCTGGGAAATGGAAGTTGTAGCTCTGGTTCTTTGTTGCCAGCATGCCGAAACTGACTGACACATGCTGACACCAGTCAGAATCCTCTTGAAAAATACGTATACATAATACATACTACAGTTATTCTTGGGTGGCTCGCACAGCGTTTTTGTTAAAGGCGCTTAACCGATGATTTTAGGCCCGGTCACGTTTCCGAAGAGAAGCTCTTGATGGACCAACTGGATCCAAATGAGCCACTGCAAAATCCCGAAAATGATCGGCAAGAAGCTACTAGGAGCAAAGGGCATCGCTACTAGGAGCAAGGACGCCACTAGGGGGGCCTTACTACTAGGAACAAGAAGCTATTAGAAACAAGAAGCTATTGCTCCGTCTGAGCACACTTACCAGAAAGGTCTACACCACACTTACCCTCATGAGCGGTAGTTACACCCACCTGAGCTACACTGGCTTGACTATTATATTATATATATACAGTATATCCTCCAAAAAATGTTCTCAAATCTGAGCGAATTTCAAGCCTGTCTTGTACGCTCAATGATGTCCAAGAATAGCAAAAAGGATCAACAAGGTATTGTCACACTTTGAGAGTAAACATGTAACCCTGCAACCTGTCGCTGTCTTTCAGCAAACAAAGCCAGGGACCAGGGCACCAAATTATGCTTGTGTTGCATTCGGCGATGTATGTTTTTGCTAGCCGCTAGAACATCCAAACATCATAGCTCTTTGGCACCCTCTTTGGCCAACCTTGGCCTGATTCTTGAAAGATCAGATCCGTTTCAGTCTGAGGGTTGGTTGGTGGTCTACGTTCTATGATGTTCTATGCATACTCGCATGTTTGTTCTTGTCTGTTGTTGCCAGTCACGCTTGGCTATATACACTTGAAGTAGTAACACCTGGCAACAGTGGATCAGTTCAAACTTCTAACTACCTTCGGATTTGGGCCAGCCCACAATTTGTTGATTTAAGTGTTCTTTTTGGACGTTTTACAGCACAAACAGATTCTCCAGCGTGGTTTTGCTTCGAAGAAACCAAGAGGGCTTACGGCCCGGACAACAACCTCGTCGCCGGTCCGGTCGCGCTCTCTGAGGTCTCGGGCTGGGTGGCCCAAAGACCCATGGCTCAGAACAACTGGCGGACAAGGTCAGACGGTCGAGTCGGTTCGATCCGCTTAGAACAACACCGGGTCAGCTGGGACCGTCAGCTGGGACCATATTCCCAAAGGGATCCCCTCTCACATGCAATCTAAATGCAGAGGCGGAAAGGAGTTGTTTTGGGAAAATACAGTAGTCAGGGGTGCCTATGTAAACCACCCATTCCGTCCGGAGTGAATATATTTATTATATATATATACATATGATATTGTACTTGTACAACACTGAAGAAGATCCCATTGGAAACCAGAAGAACGGAAGTGCTCGTCGCCTTCTTGATCGAATCGTGATCTTGAGAAAGTGCTCCCCTTCACCGTGGGATGGGAGCCTTAAATAGTGCGTCCAAGGTAATGGAATCCTGGAACCTCTGCGCACAGTCATTTCCCAGTCAAAAGCAACCTTTTGGGAGGTGCTGGAGAAATGGTTCTTTGTTTCATGGATGCATTTTGGAGAGTCCAGAGTTTCTGCCTCAAAATCTAAAGCTGTTAAAGTGGTTTGACCCCACAAATCCCCTCCAAGTACCCTAAGTCTATTGGGGAATACATCCACCTTTTGTCTTCCTTAGAGGTGATATGCGCGTTTTTCTTTAAAGATCAGTCCCAAGAGTTCGGCACCTCACCGCCCGGACCTGCAAACACCGGTCTGGCCGCTCTCCCCCAGAGGGCTTGTGAGCGATGCTGGTTTTTTGTGGTGTTTCAGGTGTCACGTTTCGAGACCGTTCGTTGCTTGCTCTCCGGCCTCCGGGAAAAAAAACAAGACTGACTGCTCAAACAGGCGTTCCTTGCCCAATCAACACGACCTCTATCTTGCAATATGGACCCTATACAGTCACAGCATGTTCAACCACCCCATATCCGAAGCACTCCATCGCCATCTTTGGAGTGGAGATCAGTGATTTCGCAGAGGACGCCCGAGCACACCTGAAGCACCACGTCCGGAGCGACCGGCGCAGCGGTGGTATTTCATCGCCCTTAGGTGCCTGGAGACTGGGACTCCATGGTGCGTGGGGCTAACACGGCCACGGCGGTCCCTTGACCCTTGAGCCAATATATTTGCGTGGCGAGATGTAGTGGTGTGCCTTGGGCGAAGGATGATTTGTTGATGGTTGGGTTACTTTTGGGTGGCTTTTGCGACAAAGACAACAACCAACCATCCTTCCAAGAGGCCACTTTTCCAACTATTGTTTCAATTGTTTCTGTGAATGGAAAAACGCACGACCCAAAGCATACCTTTTCATGAAGGTCATGAACACCTGAGAAAGGTGAACCGGTCAATACGACCTGCGTTTGGCTCAAGGAACAACGTGAGCGGCTGTTTTTTGTCGGTCGCTCTTGAGGCTGTTTCCATAACCACAGGTTATGAGCCCAAAGAGCTTTTGAAGTCCACCCTCATTTGAGGTCGCTGGTCCCCATGAGCGGCTTGATGGCGCGGCGGCGGCGCTCCTCCCGCGAAGGAGGCAGGCTGAGGGATCCAGGAGATCGAGGAGGGCAACTACGTGTGGGAGCAGCTGACGAGAGGCTAGACACCCTCCTCGAGGAGGCAAGGGCAACCTCAATGCCACCTGCTGTGAAGAGAGTTGGAGGGGCTCCAGCGGCTGGCGAGGCGAGAAGATCTTCGACGGCGGCAAGCGGAGCTGATGGAAGACAACAAGGTCCAGCATTTGAACGGCATGACCGAGGAGCTGGCTGGCAGGAGACGGTGAGGCAATCCCTTGAGGTGTTGCAAAGGGCCTTTGGACCAACTTCCCAAGGACCGATGCCGGTGGGACCTCCGCCTCCTGAAGGACTTCTTGGACCTCTATTTCATGGCCGCGATCCAGGACACCCTCGCGCTGATGATCCGGGACAACCTGGAGGGCAAGGGGCTTGGCAGCGGGAGGCAGCGTCATCGCCTCAGTTTCCAATTCCGCCGAGAGCGGACAGGAGCAGCATGAATGGTGAAGGTGGTCCACAACCTAGAGTACTTGAGCCCTACAACATGTCCACACCCCATCAACATGGGCGGCAGCAGACCAATCCTTTTTGGAGTGACCGTGGACGTGCACCTGATGGGGCATCCCGTTCTGAACGTCCTCGACCCCCTAGTGAAGAGGTGAAGAGAAGCCCGACGTCTCAGGAGCTGGAAGCCATTCGGGAGCGCATCCTTCGTGAAGCCCACTTGAACTTTGAGAAGGAGGTCAAGAAGCTGACAGGTGGTGGAGGTTCGTCGACGTTTGAATCGGCGAATAGTGTGGGCGAGCGGGCGAAACTTCGTGGTTCCACTGATGATCAAGGTGGGAACTCTGGTGATGGTGTTGGTGAGTCACTACCTGATCGACCCCCTGGATTACATGAGACCACAACCGGGACATTGTCTTCAGGGTTTGGTGGTGGAGCAGGAAAGGTGACCAGAATTGGGGCTGGAATTCCCGTGGCATCGACGACTGAGGCTCTGCGAAATTTGGAGCTTCCCTCACTTCCAGCACCCAATGGAGAAGGAGCTTCGATTCTCTTCGGCGACTGGCTGACTATGGCATTCCCGCTGATGGCTGACATCTCCAACTCGGCGAAGGCCTGGTGGGAAGAGTCCTTGATGGTGGCACAGGAGCACTACTCGCGGTGGTTGCGACTGAGTCCGCTGGAGAGGCTGAGATCGAAACCTCAAGTTGAAGTGGATCCGGCATTTCAACGGATCGAACAGCGTGGAATTGCTATGCTACTTGGAGCACTACCTGATCAGCTTCGTCGGGACTTGGTGTCTGGCAGGCAGCTGTCTGTGGTGCACATCTTGTACCGGCTCCATGTGGCGTACCAGCCGGGAGGCGGCGCGGAAAAAACGCAACTCCTCAAGAATTTAGTGGAGTCGAAGTTCTCCACATCAGTGGGAGAATTGTTGATGCAGGTCCGGTTGTGGCGACGTTGGCTATCTCGCGCACAAGAACTTCACCTCAACCTTCCGGACCCTCTGGTCCTCATGCACGCCCTGCAGCGCATGATCGACAGCACCCAAAAAGCAGGCGGCACTCAGGTGTCATTCAGGATTTCAAATGTTCGTCAAGAACTCCGAGTTGACTATGCAGCTTCATTGGAAGGAGTCACTGAGCTAGCTGAGTATGTGCAGGCGGAGATCGAGGAAATGTCCCTCACTGCAGCTCAGAAGGGTGGTGCACCACTGGCTCAGCCGGCGGCCTCGTCCAATCAAGCGGCCTCGACGTCACTGAAGGCTATGGCATCGTCGTTTGGAGCGGCTGAGAATGAAGAGCGAGCAGGAGGAAGGCTTGCTTGCAAGTTCTGGAAGTCGGAGGAAGGCTGCAGGAGGGGAACATCTTGCACCTATGCCCACGACACCTCGGATATGAAGAACCGGTGCTTTGGTTGCGGTGGGAACCACATGAAGCGTGAATGTCCTCACCAACCCAAGACTGGAAAGACTGATCCAAAGAAGGTTTCAAAGGTGAAGGCCGCGAAGGAAGGAGAGAAGGGGGTCGTCGAGAAGATCGCCAAGGAGCAGCCCACAAGTGAAGAGCCGTCTCCGGGGTCATCGTCGCCTCCTACCACGACCACTTCGAGAATGGCAGGAACACCTGAGAAGCCACTGGGTCGGGAAACTACGGCAGAGTTGTTATCGGAAGCAACGTCTTTGCTCAAGACACTGCGGAGCATGAAGGTGCTTCGTGTGAAGGAATTGAAGCCGGTTGGCACTGATGGTTTGGCACCTGTTGGATTGCTGGATGGAGGGGCGACTAATGGTCTTCGTCGAGCACATGAGCAGGAGCTGGAAAAGATGTACCCGGTAAGGGTGGAGTTGGCCTCAGGGTCAACGACGTTGTTCAGGGTGGATGACCACAAGACCTTGCTGTCCAAGGACCACGTGGAGGTCATTGTCCCGCTCCATCGACTGGTGGGATTGGGGTATCGGCTTCAGTGGACGGCGGCCGGAGTGAAGATCAATCACCCTGATCATGGCAGGATTGACTGCGCGCTTCGTGGGGGATGTCCGGTTCTACCTGAGGCCAAGGCGCTGGAATTGCTCAGCACCATGGAGAAGGCAGATCGGGGGGAGATCTTCACTGATGATGAAGTACGATCATGGTGGTCATCAAGATTCCCTGAGGTCCCTGCGGAGGTGTGGGAGTTCATGAAGGGCCAGGACAGCTTTGATGCCTGCACTTGCCCCTGGAATCGACGTCAGCGGCGACGACACCTGGCGTCTCGTGGTGTGATTGTCAACCTCTTTGCCGGAAAGGACTATAAGAGTTGGTCTAAGACGGACTGGGGTGGCTTCGAGATTTTGAATGTGGACGTGACGATGGGCGCACAGTTCGACCTCCATGGCATTGGAACTTGGGGTTACCTATGTCATCTAGCTCGACGAGGCTTGGTGGTGGCTGTGTTGGGAGGGCCGCCGTGTCGCACGGTGTCGCGGTTGAGGCACCGAGCTCCTGGTCCACGCCCCTTGAGAGGTCGAGATGACCGCCGATTCATGCTGGAGGGACTTTCTTCGCCGGAGCAGGAGCTTGCCCTCAGCGATTGTGCATTGATGATGAAGCAGATTGGTCTGTGGCTCCTCGCTGATGAGCATCGTGGAGGACGACCAGCACCTGGATTCCTGATGGAGTCGCCAAGGGACCCCATGGACTACATGCCAACTGAGGCCACCAAGGAGGACATGCCAAGTTTCTGGAACTTCGAGGAAGTGAAGAAGGCCAGAGAGCTGATGGGCGCATCCTTGCTGACCATGGATCAAGGGCCTATGGGCCACGTCAAGAGAAAACCAACATGTTTGATGGTCGCCAACCTCCCACAGATGAAGGAGTTAGATGGCGTGTCCGGAGAAGGTAGAGGAGAAGTTGAAGCAACATCGCTCACTGGGAGACTGGCTCAATCGAGGGAGTGGTCGTCCTGGGCACCGGGCTTGGTGGTAGCGGTGAAGGAGTGCTTGAAGAACTTCCTCCTGGACTACAGGCGCAGGTGGAATGCGGAAGAGATTGTGCACCACGGCGAACCTGGAGTGAAGCGGATGGGCATGGAAAGTTGGAAAACCCATGTTCGAAATCAACACCGACCCTACAGAAGGGATTGTCGGCGATGCATGGAGCTGATGGGCGTGGATGCACCGCACCGGAGGACATCAGGAGATCGATCAGCTCACTGCCTGTCCTATGACATCTTGGGGCCAATGCCACTGGGAGATGATGTGGGCTTGAGCACAAAGGTGAAGTACATCATGGTGGCAACGGTGGCCATTCCAAAGCTGCCTCGTGGTTTGGGGGAAGATGGAGATCATCCGCCAGAAGATGATGAGGACCGCCCTGACGATCGAGAAGATGGTGAACAAGATCTTGCCAATCAAGGAGGCGATGGAGATCCCGCCGATCAAGAAGTTGGCGAACAGGTTCTGCCTCAACTTGATGAAGTCGAAGATGAGGACCGGGTTGCGGAGGAGGATGCAGTCGCTCTCAATGAAGGCTGGGAAAAGCACATTGATGATCTGGCTGCGCCTGTGGGAGTTCAAAATATCACACTGGTGGAGCCCCTGGAGTCGAGAGGTCAACATGATGTCACAAAGGTGGCCACAAGGATGTACTGCCGCTTCAAAGCGATGGGCCTGAAGATCATCCGTGTCCACACCGACAGAGAGTGCGCTTTCTTCTCCAAGGTGTTCCAGTCCTTCTGCCGGCGATTTGGCCTTTACCAAACTATGACGGGGGGCGATGAAGGTCCCTCAAATGGGAGAATTGAGACAGAGGTGCAGCAGGTCAAAAGACGGCTTCGGATGTCCTTGGTGAAGAGCTGTGGCCTGGCATCGCTCGCTATGTTGGCGGGGAAAGACTGCGGCATCAATGCACCAAGCTTGGAGTCCCTTGCACACCGCTGATGCCAATTGGAGCCCGTGTCACTGTGAAAACCAAAAGGTGGCACAGAGCTGGTTTTGGGCCGTTGATTCCGCCCTTTCGCACGATGACCATCCTTGGACCATCACCTTTCATGACGGAGGGCTATGTGTTGAGGGAAGGTCAACAAGTTCAACACGCACGTGTGGTTGTCCTCACTGACCCGACGGCTGATCG